CAGTTTTAACCCTTCACTGTAGCTGAGAGTCTCTGCTGGACATTTCCCATGTGAGACATACAGGAGGCAATTTTTAAATTGGGAAAGATGCAGAGATTCAGGGAAAGTCTCAGCCCACCACACAGACATCATCTGGGAAACTCCACAGCTGGAGTGATAAAGTTTCTATAATTTTCAGTAATTGCCCACATTGTCCATGTAAAGAAACTCAAAGTCCTGGGACCCCAACCTTTCATTAATCATCTGAATCTGGATCTAAACCCAACCCCAGATCCCACAGTGCTGAACATTTAATCAAATGCTGGACATGAAATCAAAACTCATTTGTCTTTGACTGCTAACACAATATTTCTCCTGTTTCTGGATGCATACTAACCAGGAATTCAGAAATGAAAGACCCTGTATGTGATGTCACTGCTTCCAGATATCCCAGAACTTTCCCAAATGAAATATTCTACCTGCTGTCCATGTATCACTTTTGCCATGTTCATACCAATAATTACAATGGATTTTTTTAGGGAAAAGAATTGTGCTGGCTCCCTAATGTTAACTTACCTAGAAATTAATTACATTTTCAGACTTACTTATTCTAACTTTTCCTGCAAGATCCTCAGGAGATTCTTGTTGGGACTATAACCCACAACTTGTGCCTCATTCCCACCCACTTAAAAGATGCTACTTCTCCTCCCATGGGAAGTTTTCCATGATTTTGTATAAATAAATGAGTTTGGTCCAAGAGTTAATCTCAACAGATGTAGCAAAGCACTATTAGAGCTTGAGCCAGGATTAAAGGATTTGGCAATGTAGGAAAATTAATAGCCAGGGTAGTATATATTTAGATAAATGCAAGGTCATCTAAAGGTTAAATATATCACTTGAGACCTTCAGCAGAGGAGGAAGGGGCATGAGAACTGTTCTACAACACCTACTCCAGCTTTATCTTTGCACTTCTATGCCAGTGGCTGCTACAACTGATCAACACAAGAGGCTTTTAGGGGAGAAGTCAGAGTAACAATGATAATTTTCAGTTTATGGGGAGGGAACTCAAACAAATTAGGAAGTACCAGCAACATCAATGGCAAATGAAACATTGTTTGAGACACTTGGATTGGTTTTTTGGGTTTGACATAATCTAATGTGTGGATTCAATTTTAGTCAAAAAGTTTTGTCTTTTCCTTTTAAATCTGATGACAGTCTAGCAAAACCTGACAGGGAACCTGAAACTTTTTATGGCCTGTTTGACCTTCCTGAGCAGAATTTTCACGGATTCTTTGCCAAGTGACTGCACAGAGAGCAGGACACTCTCACCTCGTTCCCAAAGGAGCCCCTGCTGAAATGCTCTTCCACTTTAGAGCACTACTAACAGGAGGAACAGAACTGTTACTCCTCTTACCCTGAGCTCCTGTTAAAGAGAGCTGAACACCTGGGCCACAAAACTATTTTGATTTCTTTTATTCACAAAACAGTGTCTGTGTGGGATGGTACCTGTTGATTATCCATTCCTGACTGTGTGCCAGCAGCACTTTGGGAAACCAGAGAGCTGGAAAGAGACTTAGGACAAGGGATGGAGGGACAGGACACAGGGAATGGCTCCCACTGCCAGAGGGCAGGGCTGGATGGGATATTGGGCAGGAATTGTTCCCTGGCAGGGTGGGCAGGCCCTGGCACAGGGTGCCCAGAGCAGCTGTGGCTGCCCCTGGATCCCTGGCAGTGCCCAAGGCCAGGCTGGACACTGGGGCTTGGAGCAGCCTGGGACAGGGGAAGGTGTCCCTGCCCATGGCAGAGGGTGGGTCTGGATGATCCCTAAGGTTCCTCCCAACCCAAACCATCCTGGGATTCTGTGGAACTGGGACCTGCAGTCTCACAAGCAGTTGAAGCTGCTGCAATCACAGCCTGATTAAAACAGCCCAGTCCCCCCTGGCTGCACACCCTGGTTTTGTTACCTCTCCAGCAGTGCAGGTTGTGGGGCAGCTCTGCACCTCAGGAAACTATTCCCAAAAATCAGAATAATTCAGGACAACCAAAGGCAGTTGTGTATCCAACAAGGGCCTGTCCCCAATGACTCAGCTCCCTGACACAGAGCTACTGATTGAAAAGACAAAGCATGAAGTAAAAGCAGAGCAGAACAAAGAGGGCTGAAGGCTGTTAGTGTGGAGGTGGCTGTAATTTAGGTAACAATCTTACAGAGAAAGCTCTGACTCACACTGAGGGCATTGCAAGAGAAAAAATCATTTTACTTCAAGCAGAGCAAATGCTAAGAAGCCTCGTGGGTTGTTTTGTTCACACAGGATTAGCTGTGTTGCAATGCAGTCCTGAGCTCAGGTATGCAGAGAGCACAGGAGACAAAGGCAGAGAGTCATTCCTGAAGGACAGCTCTGCCTGGCAGGAACACCCTGACTGCCACCTGAATCCAAGCTGCAGGTGCTTGCAGCCTGTCACATCTGGGTTTTGGCTCACAGCTGCAGAACTGCCTCCAGTTCCTCACCACCGCCCTCCCATTATCCCCAGGGATGCAGGACAGGCAGGGGTGAAGGCACTGCTGCCTGGGCACACACAGCTCACAGCTGCTTCAAATGCACAAAAACACGAGAGTCCCTTCAAGTCAACAAGACATTTTTTCCCTTTTCAGTGAAACAAGAAATTTTTTCCCCTGTTCCTGCTCTCCTCCTATCAAGACATGATTTATAATGGAAGCTGTGGTTGGTTGATAAAACCCTGCTCCTTCCCTAACATGAAGCAAAAACCCGAGAAATAACAGGACAAGCTGTCCAAACATTTGGTGGCAGGACCTCCTCCTTTTATCTGCTCTCAGAATCACAACTATCTGGCAAGAGGGGCTCTGTTGATTTATTTTATTAATTCAAATGACTGGATCAACAGATTGCTATCACTGTAATGTTCCTAAACAGGAACAGAACTGTTTGCCTCTAACAAATGCTTCAGAGGCTGCATAGCTTTATCTGTCCCTACACCTCTACAACAACATTCTTCACCTCCACACTCTTTTTGAGCATCCATCAAGGACACTTCTGCCTGCAACTCATCTCTAGGTCTGGTGTAGCAACAGCAGAGATAAATTCCCTTTCTTGGAATTCTCACTGTTCATGTCATCAGAAGCCTTTGTTCCATCAGGAAATGAAGATTTTCTGCACATTTAGAGCTCGTGAGCCTTAAACTCGACACACAGGTTAAGAGTTTGAGCAAACAGAGCTCCTGGAGCTGTGGGAACACAGAGCTGCATTTCCTTGGTGTCACCTGATCACACTGTGACCACTCCTGCTTGTCATTAAGGACACAAGATTATGGCACTCCCAACTTTCTGTTAAGCCAGAATATGGTGCTGTATTTCTGCAGCTGCTCATATCTGTTGTGTCAGGAGCCTGAGCGTGCAGGGACACACAGAACTCCCTTCTCAGGCACTTTGCTCATCACCATATTTTTATGCTGGGAAAGCACAACAGGATCACTGTGATCTGAGAGGCACACAGCTGTGACAAACTGCACAAGGGCTGCCTTGCTTCTGAGCCTTTAATCAGCAGTGCTGTTCTCCACACCCGGCCCTAGTGTCAGCCAGCCTGATGGCAAGCATGGTGCCCAAACTGAATAATGGGATCTACATTCCACACAGGGATTCCAAACCCTGTGCAAAGTGTCCACACTCGGGCACAGGCTGAGTAGCTTTTTTTTGCTTTATTGATTCACTTGGAAGGTAATCATGGCATAGGCTGATCATCCAAGCAGTATTACATCATTTAACTAATTGAGGGTTGGAACTGATGTCTGAGGTCCCTTCCACCCCAAGCCATTCTGTGATTCTGTGACTACAACATATTCAGCTCTAAGGCTTCGAAGGTTAGAACACAAGTCCAACAAAGCCACAAGACAGTTCAGAAGCAGAAGTTTGTTCAAGTAGTACCAGTGTGTATTGACTCCAGAAACAAATGAGATTTCAGAGCAGGTACTCTATGTCCATGCTGCTCTGATTCTACAAATGAGGTGTCACCTGAACTCCCACACCTGACACAAATCCAGCAAGAGCTGTGTCTCACATGGCCTGGCTGAGCAGGCAGCACTGGGATGCTCTAACTACCCTGCTGGGATCCAGCTGGGATTGGGAGATCCAACCACTGGGCACTGACAACAGCCAGCCCACAGGCTGGCTCTGGCATGGAAAGGGAAAACCTGAGGAGCCCTGAGAAGACTTTCCATGCTGAATTACACAAGTGTCTGGTCAATCCTGAGCCTCTCCACATCAACTCCTCATCCCACCCACTCACAGACAGCAGCTGCAGATGGAAATCCCTGTGGCTGAAAGCAGCTGAAATGTGAGATGGCACAAGTGAGTCCCTCAACCCCAGTGGCTCTGGGGTTTGCTTGGTTAAGAGACTTTTAAAGCTTTTATATTTCCTAACAGCAAACTCCAAAGGATTAAAAACTCCTTGGAAGGACAGTGCCATTTCAACACATACGGTTTGGTACTTAACCCCCAGGTATGCTTAGGACCTTTTGAACATTCAGTCTCCATCTCTGTGCTGTGACACTTACAGGGACCAGAAACACTGACACCACACAATAAACAGACACGGATGGGTGGTTTGTCCAAGTCAGCAGCACTGTTTCATCAGCTGGAATTCTCCAAATCCTCTATGTTCTGCCTGATCTGGTTTTAGCTACTGGAAGGAAGGGGATGATGTGAATAACAGTGGCAGCTGCCTTGGAGGAGTGCAGCACAAGCTTCCACTGCCATCAGGCCAGCTGTCCCTCACAGGCCATGGCCAGCTCTCCTTTCCATAGGGAGGGAGGAAGGAAGCTTCCAGTGGAGAGCCTGTGTCTGCTCCAGCCCCAGCCCAGAGAGAAGCAATGCAGGGACACCCTGCTCATCCCCTGAGCCACCCTGAGCAGCTCCAGGAACACAGCACTGAGGTTCCTGCTTTTACTGCAGTCCCACTGCCATGGCTGTGCTGGTGCCTACCTGGAACCCGTGTTTTCCTCTCCACCACGAGGTCAGCTCCTTTGGTGGCATGTCGATGACAGACACGATGTCCCCCACCTGCAAAAGGTTGACAGCATCAGTCACAGCCAGGAGGAGAGCACAGTTCCAGCCTCAGGACTGCAAAAAACGGCAAAACTCTGGAGTGGCTGCACACGTGCCTTTGCAAAGCCAAGCTTGAGGTGGAAGAGCTCCTGGATGATCCAGCACACAGGATCCAGCTGCTCCTAAGGAAAAGGAGCTGAAGAGCAGCAGCTCCTGGCAAGGGCTACAGAAGGGTTCTGGTTAAACTGCAGTGATGGTGTCAAACACTTGGGAGAATCTGCTCAAGTGGCTGAACTGATTTTTGCTCCCTGCCCTCCCATGTGTCTGTAGGCACTGATGTGTCTCCTTGCTCCCTCTCACAGCAAAGAGGGAAGAGCTGTCTCTGCAGCTCCCAAAGTGCCCCAGATGAGCTCCCCGGGGTGAGGAAGTGAACAGAGGAGAGCTGGTGCTACAGCAACGGGATGGAAAATGGCCAAGGACACCAGACAGGTTTTCTGAAACTTTGATCATTCCCATAGAAATGCAATACTGTCATAGTTCAAAAGGAAATCAGTATAATAATACTAAATTTGGCTTGGTTTGAATCAAGCTCTGTGTGCCTCTATTACAGAAAATGAGAAGGGGCAGAACCTAAATAAACACTGCAGGTAGTTAGGGCAAAAATTAATTCCAGTAATGCCCAACTTTCACCAGATAATTTACACTGATGGATCTCAAAGTGTTTTACAGAAAAGACAACACATGCCCAGTTTGCAGACAGGGCTGACTGAGATGTGAGGAAATTATTTCCTCCAGGGAATAGTGAACCACAAGCAAAGCAAATGTCCATGAAGGAAACTGCTGCCACCACAGGAGCAGAGACACTGAGGATGCTCCTCAGAACTGGGGAGCAAACCCCAGTCAGCTGTAGCACAACTGCACTGCCCACTGGAAATTGAGAACAGTAAACACAGAGATAATTTGGGTTAGGGAACAGGACTCAGCATCATGAAACACCTGATCCTGTTCTGTGTCAGTCCTGCTGAGGTGTCTCACTGCACACCCTTACAAACCACACGTGCCTCAGTTTCCCCCCTGCACAGAGCAAGATTTACAGGCAGGAAGTGTCACTGCAGTGCTCTCAGAAGCTGACAACCATTCTGGATCCTGTGCTGCCTGGACTGCAGCTCAGAGCTGCCATGCCACACGTCCCTCTGATCACACAGCTCTTTGGAGTATTCTAGGACTTGATTTGAACATGAACAAACCCCTGGCAGCACCAGACTATCACTGTTATTTTTCCTTCCTGTGCTGCACAACAAGGATGTGATCACAAAGCTCCTCAGGGCTGTTTTGTAGAAACAGCACCATTGCACAGGACAATCAGAGCATAACTGGTTTTTGGGTAAAACAGACAACTGCCAGACAACCAAAAGGTTCCAGGGTCTGATCTGGAAATCCTGGATGGGATATGGAGCAACCTAGAGCTACTATGGGGCTACTAGAAGGTGACCCTGCCCATGGCAAGGGGTGGAATGGGATGGGTTTTCAGCTCCCTCCCAAACCAAACCAGCCTGAGATTCAGGGATTTGCTCCACAGCAGCTCCTGTGCTGGATTTTCAGAGCAGTTTTAGCTCATCACCTGCCCTTTAAGTAGGAATCCTTTGCCAGTCTGGTTCTTTACTTCTCATGGGAGCAGAAGTTCTTAAAAATGGTTATTGACAGGGACTTGCTCAGAGGAACCCAGGTGGTGGAACCTGGGCAAGGAGAAATGAAACTTGTGTCCACAAGAAGAGAAAACACATGGGCTGTGCTCAGAGCCAGCCCAGAGGAGCTGGGTAATCAGAAGATCCTAATGCCAAGTAAAGCTGGATTTTAAAGATGACTGAACAGCTGCCTGTATGCAACTCTGTGCAGATCGAATATTTAACTCAATCTTCCAAGCTTCACTTCACAGAACATTGTGGAAGTGTCTGCACATATTCCTGATGGGCACACAGGCCCAGAAAAACAGATTACACTCATCTGTAGCTGACAACAAGGAATGCAAGTGCTTTTATTTACCTCAAAGGACAGTTCATCTGCTGCTTGAGCAATGTATCTCTTAATGACATGGGCAGCAGCAATAGCAGGGACGTTAATGGATGATTCCTCATGGACCAGCAGGTGATTCCCCTTGTTATCAATCTGAAACAGAGAGCACAGGGGACTGTGAGGCAGCTGAGGACAAGTGAGGAGGCATTTTAGTGGTGCAGAGCTGATTGAGAGAGACAGCCCAGCCCTGTGCCCCAGGAGAGAGGGCACAGCACAGACAGAACAACTCATGGGGGTTCCATGAGTCAGGTGTGCCCATCCACCAAGGAGAAAAATGCTGGGCTGGTGCAGCTCTGTGTGCAAACAGTAACACACAGTGAGGGTCTGCACCTCCCTGTAACACCAAATCAAGGTGGTTTCCCATGGCAATACAAAAATCCTCTACAAGGTGCAATTGATGCTCGAGGCAATTAGGGAAGGGGGAAATGCTGTCAAACCAAAAACTGGTGTTGCTTTCCATTTTCTCCCACCCTTTAATTTTTTTTTTTAAGAAAACATGCACCCCCGCTTGCAATCATCAGCTACTTCCAAAACTCCCAGATTTCTGTGTGAAATTCTGCAGGATTCTCAGTGAGTCACAAAGGTTATTCTGCACTGATGTGCACTGGGTTTGCTGTGATCTGTAGGCCTGCTGTGTTGCTGTGAATCCTACATCTTATTTCTCTCTACAACTTCCTCCCTCCTTTTACCACTTTCCAAGATTTTTCTCATCCCAAAGGATTTCAGGGTGAGAAGGATGTCAGTGGGGAAAATTGCAGGAAAACACACTGATAAATCCTTATCAGAATTTAAAAGGAGCTGCAACAGTCTATTAATAGCTGTTGCTATTCCTGGTGTGCAGTGATGGAGAGGCACACGTCTGAGCAGGGACAGCTGGACACTCACTCAGCCTTCCCTGCCCTCCTCCCACTAAGGGCTATTGTTTAAAGGCTCCAAGACCACTGAAGCTGAAAGCAGAGCTGCAGCTGCAGCTCACGATACACAAACTGTGCCACTGCAAGCACAAGGCTGCCTCTGTCTGCAGGGCTGCCAACAGGAGCACAGAGTATTTACTGGGTTTGGAGCTGCCACAGGGAAAAATGATTAAAAAAAACCCCAGGAGAGCAGGGAAACACCATAACAAGACAGCTGAGATTTAGAAATGTGCCACACTTGCAGCATGGCCTTGGCAAAATGGAGAGCAGGAATAAGTGAGCTTTGAAATAAGTGAGCCTTCTGCAAGCCATCACTGGGAGGTTCAGCCCTGAACCCAGCATTCCCAGGCAGCCCACTGGGACTGCCACCTCCTCCACCTGGTATTTGTGAATATCAGCAGGAACAATGCGTTTCTGAGAGACAAAATCCAGGTAGCAAAGCAAAAAACTCTATACTCTTAATACTGGTTCTGATTCTGTGTATTCTACACCTTCTATGTGCTGGTAACAATGGACTAAAGCTTTCAGGATAGAATTTCAGTGACATCAACAGGTCTGGAAAGAGCAGGTGAGTGCCTGCTGCCTTTCCAAGGTGAGGAAACAAGAAGAGCCCGGGTTTGTGCTGTACCTCCATCCATGTGAGGGCAGGGCCACAGTTGATCTTATTGCCTGCGATGGTGGAGAGCCGAGCCAGGTAAGCCATCAGCATCTGGGTGACCAGCTGGGACACAAACACACACAGGGCTTCTGTTAATCCTTCCTCTGAGAGCCCTCTGCAGGCTCTGGGGACACCAGAAATCACCCACTGCCCCAGGAGTTACAAGAGTTACAGAGATACCTTCCCTTCTGAAATAAATGCATTTCTGTCCTTCACACAGCAAGCTACACACAGGGTTACAATGAGTACACCAAAAGAAAGGGTGAAGCAGCATTATCATTTTGTAACTTCCCTTGTCAAGATACCTTAAATCTACTTCATAAACAAACAACTCGTGTCTTAGGGCCACCAAACACACCTGAGAACCCCTCAGTGAACAAACCCCTGGCTGCCACTTCCACATGCTTGCAAAGCCTTAAGAATGTGGCAACTCAAACTGATCCCCTGGCCAAAGACTCATATTTCAAGCAGCAGAAGAGGGGTTTAAAAATACACTTTGCCATGTCCCTTCTGTAACAGTAAACTGGTTTTTATTACAGAGAAGCCACTGAGATCTTTCCAAAGTCTCACAGTGACAGTGGTATAAAGCAGCATTGTAGCCCAGAATCTGTAGGACTGTTTCAAACACTGTTTTCCTCAAACATCTGTTCCAATGTGGCCTATTGAAAATAAAAAATATATGATGAGACACCCCACAGCTGCAGAGTTACACTTCACAGAGCAGCAGAGCTGTTCAGCATCCTCTGTGCTTGTAGACAGAATGCAAATTTTCATGCTCACGCTCTAAAGTCCAATCAAATCAGTGGTACAAGTAAAAAAGCAAGAGATAGGAATGCCTAAAATATAATTAAAAATAAACTAAGAATTCATTGTTCTGAATATTGCTGCTCCTGCTGAATTTAAACTTTAAATCCTCCTCATAAATACCCTGTGTGAAGCCAAATCAAGTGATAAATCAATCTCTCTGCTGAGTGATGGGGCTGCATGATCAGCTCCTTATATTCCATGGCAAATACCCTGTAAAATTCCAGGGAGTATTAATTTCAGTGTCCACGTCCTCCAAAACCATGCAGCCAAGATTCACCTGCTGCTTTCCAGGAGATTTTTCTGGACATGAATAAATCTTTCAATTATCAGCAGTGAGAAGCTGAGGTAATTTCAGCTCATCATACTCTGGGTGAAGACAGAAGCCAAGAAGTGAAAAGTATCTCTTTGAGGAAAAAAAACCTCATTGAGGAAAAAGAGCTTTTTAAAGACCAATTAAATAACACACTAATGCAAATGTTCTTAAAAACAGTTCAGGAATATGCAGTTTAAAATGGAAGCTTAGCACTCCAAATGGGTGTTGTAGTGCTCTTGTAGTGCTGCAGAAATCCCAGCATGATTTCCTGGCAATGTTGAGTTGGTACCACTAAGCCACGAAATACCCACATCATTGACAAAGTTTCCTAAGGACAAACAAAATTCAAATCTATGGACACCTGCTTTTTGACACTGAATTACCATTCCAGTTTCAGGAGCTTAATTAATTCGTCTGAACTTGCAGGACATTTCCCTTTAGATCACTGACATGAGGGGTGGAAAACACTGACTTTATTCAAATGTAACCCAGGCTGCATTAAAACTACTCTGTACTAGAAATACACGGAATTGCTGAGGCTGGAAAAGACCTCTAAGCCCACCACTAAACCATGTCCCCAAGTGCCACATCCACACATTTTTGAACACTTCCAGCGATGCTAACTCCCCCACTCCCTTTCTAATGATTGACAGCCCTGTCCCTGACACCCAACCACAGCTCCCAAAGGTGACCCCTTGAGCACTCCCCAGGGTGTGGGTGCTGCCTGTGCCCTGGCTGCCCCCGGGGCTGTCCTTTACCTCGGGGCTGTCCTTCAGGGCATCGGAGCGGGGCAGCTCTGCCAGCTGCGAGAAGCGGCGGTCGTAGATGCACAGGTGGAGGTGTTTGTCCAGCACCCGGAAATCCTCATAGCTCCTCTTCACAATCCAGCTCCTGCCCTGCACACACAAACACAGCCACAGTCAGCAGCTCCTCAGCATGGGGGCAACAAAGGGAAAGCTGAGCAGAAAGAGCAGTTTCTGCTGAAAACATCTGAAAGCGATCACAGTGCCTGATAACATTTTCATGTTTTAATTTGCAGGTAGCATTTTCATGCTTTAATTTTGTCTTCGGTTGCAATACAGGATGTGACCAAAAGTATGTATTCTATCCCCATGTGTTAACCCAGCTGGGGCAGTGTTCTTTATCTTGCCCACAGCCCATCCTCCCTCCAGGAGATCTCTCCTGTTCATGGCCATGCAGTCCCAGGGCAGGGCTGATCAAATTCCATCATCCCATTGGGAGATGCTCCAGCCAGGGCAGGAGCCGAGCATTTCCTACCCAGATCAAAGGGGAGATTTGGAACAGCAGAGCAGCCTTTTCCCACTGGATCCCAGAGGAAAACCAGAGCCTTCCACATCATCCCTGCAGCTTTGGAGGAAAACTGCACCTTGTGCAGGAGCCCTGCTCCAGCAGAACCACATCTGTCACTGCAGGAGGATGCAGCCACCATGGAATGGGACTGCACCAACCCTGACTGACTGACGGGGGCACCTTGGATTCTCACTCTGGCAGTGTTCTGGGTTTGGGGATTTTTTTGTATTACTATATTTTTATTTTAATTTTTTTATACTAAAGAACTGTTATTCCTATTCCTATATCATTGTCTAAGAGCCCCTTAATTTCAAAATTATAATAATTTGGAGGGAGGGGGTTTACATTGTCCATTTTAAGAGAGGCTCCTGCCTTTCTTAACTAACACCTGTCTTTCAAACCAAGACAAATTTGCAGCAGCCATTCATGCTCAAAGCAGCTGTTAGTGGTCCTGTTTGAATTATTTAACCATGGGTTTGGATGTGGCCCAGCATCATGAGACCCATCCTGAGCTTTAACTTCCACCTGTCTTACAAGGATTTTGTAGCATTTTTCTACACAAGGTGGCCTTGCACAAATGTAAATCACCAAGAGGTTGTATAAACAGTGTGAAATTAGATTCCAAACAGATAGGAGCATAGAAACCCAGAGATCTGAAGGCAGGATTGAAGCTTGCAAAATTTCTGCCACGTGCCCCAGGCAAATCTTCAGCTGAATTAAGAAAACAATCCATGATGAACAGTTCTAGCTGCAGATTTATTCCTAAGTGCATATCATTTCCCTAATTAAAATATAGACAAGATACAGACTGCTCCAGGGGACAAGGAAGGGACTGTGGCAGCACAGAACAGTTTGCTTTGTGAAGCTTTTAATATCTAATGATGACTTTTAAAAGCTCCATGGCCTATTATGATCAATAAAAAATGCTGTAATAATGCAGCAGTTTACAGGTCAAAGCACTTTATGAAGAGTCGTTAATCACAGAATCCTAGAATAGTTTGAGATAGAAAGGAATTAAAGCCCATCCAGTCCCACCCCTGTTCTGGGCAGGGACACCTTCCCCTGTCCCAATTTGCTCCAAGCCCTTTCCAGCCTGGCCTTGGACACTGCCAGGGATGTGGAAAGAATCAAGGAATTAGATTGCTCCGGGGCACTCAGAGGCAGTGCCAGGGACTGGAAGTGACACAGGGATGCCTGAAAGTAGAGCAGAAAGCAGGGGATGTGTGCTGCCAGGGGCACACAGAGGGGACAGAGCTGGAAATGCTGACTGCTGTGTGTGGCTGGCAGGGCTCTGCCAGGTGCCCTGCCCCCTGGGACACAAAAGGCAAGGCCTATTCTGAATTCCCAATCATAATTCCTCTACACTGATTTCTTTGCCAGCAAAGTTTTAAGCATCAGTTTTACATTAATATCCAAAGCCTGCGAGGCAATTGCAGATCCAAACTCTCTAACCCAGCTACATTCCCAATGATTTAAGACAACTCCACACTGTGACTGTGTCCATAAACTCTGCTTTCAGTTCGTGAGAAATCACCGTATTTCACAATCCTGCAAAGAGGCACCTACACAGGATAAATGATTTGGGATTTCCACATTATATAATTTCACTTTTTGTCTAGAGGAGAAAAATAAGACCAGGAGTGCAAGGCTAATTCTGTTCAGGGAGCTGTCAGCCTTCCCCATTTCTCCATCTTTTGCAATTCAGGGATTTTTGCTCTCTCACTGAGCTGCCAGCGTGACCTTCAAGGTTCAGTCTCAAAGGAGGGAACATCAGCCTGAGAAATCCCTGCAATCCTGGATCTGCCTCTGCCACCAAATCGGGCATTTCATTCCTCCATGAGCACCCAAACAACAAAATGATCCTGACCCTGTCACTATTTCCATTCTGCTCCATTCAGTCTGGCTGCCATGGATGGGGGCAGTAAGGGTTAAATGCAAGCGGGAGCAGAGCTGGGTCAGCCCCTGCTGTGCCAGGGGGAGCAGGATCAGCCTCTCTCAGCCCACCCCATCACGAGGCTGACAGCAGCAGCAGAAGGTGATGGATGAGCAGGGACAGCTTACCCCACAGCAGCAGCAGCAGTGTCTCTGGCCCCACGGGAGGCTCCTGGAGCAAGGGCAGGCAGCAGAGCGAGGGAAGGGAAGAGGGATCCTCGGCTCCTGCACCTCCAAACTGCAGCTCGCAGCTGCTAAGCAACCAGCAGAGCTCTCCCTCAGTTCTCCCATCCCTGAGCTATCCCTGAGCTATCTCTGAGCTATCCCTGAGCTAGCCCTGAGCTATCCCTGAGCTATCTCTGAGCTATTCCTGAGCTATCCCTGAGCTAGCCCTGAGCTATCTCTGAGCTATCTCTGAGCTATCCCTGAGATATCCCTGAGCTATCTCTGAGCTAGCCCTGCCAGCAGCCCAGGCTCCAGGGATGCTGGAGGTGCTGGAGGCCAGAACCTCATCACCATTCCCAGGTCACTCAGCCCAGGGTCGTGGATGTCAGGCTCTTGTACAAAAAGATCATGGGATACTTCATGGAATCATGGAATATCCTGAGCTGGACCCACAAGGATCATCAGTCCAACCCCTGGCTCTGCACAGACCCCCCAACAATCCCACCCTGAGCATCCCTGGTGTCCAAACTCTCCTGGAGCTCTGACAGCCTCAGGGCTGTGCCCATTCCCTCGGCAGCCTGGGCAGTGCCTGAACCCTCTGGGGGAAGAACCATTCCCCAAAATCCAACTTAAACCTCCCCTGGCCCAGCTCCAGCTGTTCCTCAGGTCCTGTCACTTCTCTCAGAAGAGCTCAGCACCTGCCCCTCCACTTTCTGAGAATGGGGCTGCCAATTCCTGTCTCACTCAGAGTGACCATGCACAGGCTGTGCTGGCACAGAGCAGCACTTCAGGAGCAATAACACACATTTCCAGACAGTAAAATGTTATTCCAACACCCTAAAAAGGAGTATTTACCAATATTCTACAATTTTAAGCATGCCATAACTCATTTCAAAAAGCTGTCATGCTTTAGGTTGGACTTCAAGCTGTATTAAGCAGTTTTTTGCAGATTTGGAGTCTGAGTGACAAAGTTTATGCCACATTTCCATGGGATACAATTAACTTTTCAGGAAGGAATCACTGCAGCAATCAAGGAAGGAATTGCACAGTATTTAGTGCTTCCCCTTAGATCTGCAGCACAAATCACAGGAAAGCAAAGTCTGGATTCTCACAGCCAGACTCCCAGAGAGGCACAGCCAAAGCAGCAGCTCCTCATCCCAGATCCAAAGCACTACAAAGGTTTCCCCATATCAATACAAAAATTGTACATCTTGCTCCCCCTTCCTGCAAATTCTCAAGTGCCAGAAGGGTTTGGCAAAAGGATTATTTTCTTAATTTAGAGAGTTAATAAAATATTAGACACAATTAAGTGCCTGTTAAGTTGATCTTGTGTCGTCAACTGTGTTTTATAGCAAAGCTCAACATTTCTGGAGCTTCAGGCACTCAGCATCCATATGGCAAAAATGTCTTCACGTTTTTAATGATTTCCATAAACTGTTGCTCAAATGAATTTTTGATCAGCCTCTAATTTTCTAATTCAATAATTACTTTTCATTTCCTTAATTATGACTGGTTCTGAATTACAGAAGCACAAGCTTAAATCCCATTCATTTCAGTGGGACACAAGAGGTGAAGATAAGCACAAAGTCATTTCCCAGATTCAGACCTTCAACTAGAAACCTGTCTGTGACAAAGTTCTTTAAAATAAAAGAAATCAAATATCAAGTGAAGATTTCAACAATGCCACTAAATACTTTCAGGATCTTTAAAAGGGAAAATTGTCCACTGACTTAAAAAACATGTTCCTCCTGGAAAAAAAAGTCAATGTATTTTTTGAAATTTCTTTTTACAGATACATTCACAATGAAAAGCATCATGACAAACCTGGAATTTCTCACAGAATGGAAAATCTGGTCTCATGCCTGCTCTGTTTCCATCCTGATCTTCTCTCCCTTACTGTGCTGGGTAGGATTAAATGTACAGAGAGAGCCTGGTGAGATTTCAGCCTCTGCACAGAGCTGCTGATTTTTTTCCGATTATCCAAGCAAGGAGAACTGTCACGCTAAAGAAGTGATTGTGGATTACTGAACTGATATTTAATTTCCAGTGAGGCAGAGATTCCATCAGTGGCACCACCGCTGCCAGATCACAGCTCAGAGACGCTCCCGGGCTTCACTGGGCACGGGAGGAGCCTGGGAGGGACAGGGAGCCAGAGCCCAGCTCCACAAGGAATATTTTCAGCTCTGCTGATCAAATGGCCTGCAGAGCACTGAGCAGCCACAGCCTGGAGTAGTTTCCTACTCCCTTAAGCTCAGCCCAGTGCCGTGGCACATGAGAAGAGCAGCAGTGTCACTCCCATTCCCACTCTTGCCAAGCACATCCTGGCTCCTGCAGCTCAGTGATGGCTTCATTACCAACAGACAGACATTACCCACTGAAATCTGAGGAAGCAACTTTAAACCATTCCCTGCATTTTCATTCCCACAGTCAAAGCCTGCCTGTGCTCCATCATCCCTTAAACACCACAATTATCAGCACAAGAACTGTG